TATAATAAAATATGCTAACCTACGTCCATCTAACCTAGAAACAAAGGATTTTTTCGTAGATTGTTTCGTAGTATAGAAATGGGAAATGCAATAAACAAGTTTTGGGTACACAGTAGTAGTCACTCTAAAATAAATAATGAAATTTTTAAAATTTTGTGTCGACGTTTCGTTGCCTTAATGAAGTCACGCGCTAACAATTATCTGGAGTGAACTATGGGAATTTTTTCATATATATTTCATATTTCTATAATTCTTTCATCGATTGACTCATTCATTCATTGAGGCTGATAGGCGTCTCAAATCCGACTTATGCGGCCATGTCTTCTCGAATAATTTCGACTTAAGTTGTAAAAAACCCTCGAAGCAGGAGCTGGGTGACCAATGTTTATTTCGGTATTCACAGAAAATTACACGGGAGAGAAGTGAGAAATGAACCCAGTCTTCTGATACCCGCAAATGGTATTTACAATTAATATTGTGATTAGTCACAAATGTACTGAATTATTTATGTATTTTGGGTGTTGTAGTATTTTATGCTTTGGAGGGGGTATCAGAAACAGGCCGACTTGCAATAACATGTACGCGATGGCCATGAAAATAATGTCGATGTCATGGCAATGTGAAAACTATTAATGACGTCTAAAATAAACAACCAGAAAGAGTCAGAGAGCCTTTGAGGACGAACATGATTTTGTCCCGAAGTTTAAAACCCATGGATTAATCGTCTTGTTCAGGTGAAATCGTGTTGCTGTGGTGATCAGCCTAATATGAACTTATTGGAATGTGTGACATTTAATGCAATAGACAATAATTTATAAAAAGTTTGTATTGTGGTTGCATTCGTCAAAAACTATAGACTGACATTCGGTATGGACGCTGCTAATTCTTCAAACTATTAGCACGATGAGCATACACGAGGAATTTAAAGGAATTGGTCGTTTTGTTTTGTCATCTGGAGGAAAGGATTTTTATTTAATCGGTAATTTGTTTGGATTCTTTTTAAAATAATTTGTTAATAAATGTATTATTGAACGTGATACCCGTTTATTTCAATTTAATTGTAATAACACTATAGATATAACAAGAAATCATCCTTCGTAATGTTTACTATTTTTATTTCGATTTTCAAATTCATTATGTAAAGTCCAATATCCGTGATAATTCTGTTGTGGTTTCGGTTGCAGCTGTCGGGGTGGACGGACGAGCTGCGGCAGGAGCTGCAGAGCGATGAGGCGGCTGACTCGCTAGAGGCGGCGGAGCGGCTGCTCGAACAGTGCGGCCAGCAGCGCGACTCGTCGCTCGACGCCTGCGTCAGCACCATCGCCGAGGGGGAGACCCTGCTGCAGGAGCTGCGGTGAGTGAGCGCCCGGAGCCCGGCTGTCGTCTGACCTTTGCTCTCGCATTTGGACCCGTACGGGAGGTCTTTGCAAACAGAATCCTGCACACAAAGAAAAGAAATGGATTAATAAAAAGAAAAAGAGGTAAAAAGAGAGAAACGATGGAGACGGACAGACTTGAAGTCAGACACAGAAACAGAGATTAGGGACGAACGTAGTCCAGATAGACACAGTCACGGACTCACAGTCACAGTCATAGACACAGACTGGCAGATACACACGTACCGATAGAGACAGACATCAATCTGTTGAAGGGTGAAGATACGACATGTGTGATGCTAAAGTGAATGAGAAACTGTACTGAAGGAGACTGAAACATTGGATTCACTTTCTTGAACTAAACAGTACCCGCGGTTCTCAATGCGAAGTGTGAGTTTAAAATACTTTTAACTTCTTACTAGTTTTAGATAAATGGAAAGGGTGTAAGCAATGACGTGTAACTGCCAGATCGTAATGTTATTCGAGATGAAAACGCATTTTAGGAAACGGTAAATAAATTTGAAATGGAAAAATGTGTAATGTTTGTCTATGTTAAAATTCAAGAGTTATAAGTAATATTTAGAGATAACAATATCTTGCAGTGAATTTATACAAATCCAATCTCTAATTTTGATTCACATTACTAGTGATCATCAGATATTGATGGAGATCTAGAATTGATTAGGGGGTGATAGTTTTTGGTTTCAGTTTTTTCTCCCATCTGCAAGCACTGTCTAATCAGCGGAGAAACATGTTTGTGATTTAACCCCCTTTTTTGTTGTTGACTTGCTGAAATCGAAAATAAAACCTTGAAATGCCTATGCAATGACCTATACAATGTCACTTCTACTACTTATTCATCATCGGGTGTACATTAACCGATAATCAGTCAAATGAGAACGAGAAAAAGCATTCTTTGCTTGGAATATAGAGAACTGTTTGAGACAAGGGACTGAAGTTGTACGAACGGTGATAATACTCCTCTGCGAACCCATCTTCCTATAACTGAGTTTAAAGTATTACTTTTGGCTCCTGTATCAACCCATTTGCCCGCGACTGTCTTTTGCTGCGGCCCTACGGACACTGTTCTGGACAGGCCTGATTTAAACATTGATTTAAACATTAATTTAAAAGAGATTTGAATGGGAAGAAACCTTCTTTCTGAGTAACCAATCATTCAGAGTTAGCCAATGACACCGTAGGACGCATTTTAATTTTATCTTTTTTTGGCCTTCAGTGTACTTCGTGAGAGATAAGTAGGCCGTATCTCCCATATGTAGATCGCCTCCTCCTTCGCCCTTTCTACTCGGTCGTCTCTTACGAAGCGTCTCGCATCCTTGGCCCGAGGGACCTCAAAGGATTCGCGCGACAAAATGAGGAACACGACTGAGGGTATTGAATACATAACTACATTGCCGGCAAAAGAACTCGATTATAATCGCAAATCAGCAGAGGATACCCCAGTTACGGAGTCAAAGACTTGTCCCTCGGCTTCGAGTTTGTTTTTTGTTCCAGCAGCGGAAACTGTAATACCTCATTAAGGTTTTCCTTTTAGTCTTCTCCGACGCGCTCAATGGAAGGAAAAGGATGTTGCCTTAAAATTAATTCGAAAACGATTTCCTAAAGGAATATCCTGACAGAAAAGTGTTCTCAAAGACACTCAACAGGTGTTGTTAGAAAATTGTTACGTGAATGTAAAATAATAGAATATTGTTTGACCAAGAGAGTTGATAAATAATAAGTCAGGAAACTTTTTTTCCGAATAAATGAATGATGTGTTTTTGGAAACAGAAAAAAAAGTTTCCATGCAGATAAAAGAGATATTTAAATGGGGCTGTTTAAATTCTGTGTAGTTTTGTTACGTTTGTTATTTTCTAAACGAGTACGAAACTAAGGTTTTACTTAGCTATAGAACAAATGTGATATAATATGGTATGTATTAAGCGTGTTTTTGTTCTAGAAACGAATTCATATCGTGCGCAAGGTTTTCAAACACAAACAATTTTCATCTTATTTAACGAACCAAAAATGCTTCAGTTCTAATTAAAAAAGTTAACTTAGCGAAAAAGAGATAACGTATGTGAGGAATAGTATTCAGAGTTCGGTCCGCAAACAATTCAGCGCTGCGCCCATATACGACTTTCATATGGAGCTGTCCAGGTTGGGTGGATAATTTAGAGGTTGCTCGTAAATTGCTTGAAGTGTGCGGACAATGGGGCTATGCAGAATTGCGTTCCCTTGTGTACATAATAGCCGAGAACGTTATGTGGTGGGCAGAGATAGCGCTAGAAAGTCAGATAACATGCGCAGTGGAATTTATGAACTATTAAACTGAATACCCCCGAACTCGTTATTTAATTGTAACATTTGCCTTAATTGTGGGAACAACAATAAGCAAATTATACGTAGAAAGTTTCTGCATTATTCGAGGGATTAAATTATGTAGTCACGTCACTAGGGTAAAACGCCGAAATCCTAATAGTATTTGTAACTTCCTACAGTATTTCAGAAGAAATAATAAAGAGATGCATTGCATGGAAAAGGCTTGATTTGGTTCCTTTACTTTTGCAAATATCCGTGTACAAGATGAAATTGTACAAGATGAAACACTTGACAAAAATGTTTAGATAGAATATAAATAGATAAATTTCTCGGAATATCGTGCACATGGTCATTATATATTATAAAAGGTCAAATGAAAAATTTCATAATAGTGAGTTACTAAAGAAAATTCATTGTGTGGAAATGTGATCATGTAAACTGCGGATATATTTGCTGCTAAGCTCAACTTACGTAATAAAATTGTTTGATGAGGTTCTGCAATCGGTGGATAATATGTGGATAGCGTTTTTTAACAAAATAATTGACACCACATCATATTACTGTTTACTTTTGTTCAACGTATCTGCCTTTTCTCAATATTTACCTAGCGATAATAGGTTCCCTCAACCTAACTTCCATACATAATGCCTCTCTGACATTGTCGTTGGCCACTTCTACCTTTCTTCCTCACTGAAAATTATTTGTGTTAATGATGTTGTTTTAAAATACAATCAATACATCGCATTAATGTTGGCAAATATTTTGTTTGCGAGTTAGATAACATTCCCCTCAGCGCTCAAAAATAGCTATGTTTCTCCTCTGATATTCGAGCTCGCTAATGTACAAAACATGGAAGAATATGAAGGAGATTTCCATAACGCCTACTCCTGTTACAATAAATTCATACGAAATTTACATAGTTTTCATAGCGAGAGAAACTTGTTTCCTTGACTCTCGTTGCGCACGTTATATTCATTAACTTTCCACTATCGCTTATTATTAGAATTACTCGAGCAGGCGGCAAATGCGGCCTTTATCGGAGCTGTACTCCTGTTCTCGTTAAAGGGAGCTCTCATGCTTTCGTTTCCCAGCTCGCACGGAAGTCCACCATCCACCATTATCGTAATTTTCCGCCTCGCAAATTAGTGGCCGGAGCGACGACAGAGAGAATTCGGGATCGTTGCTAACAAATTCACGTCTGCATGAAGAACTCTACTTTGATTCCTTTGGGCTGCACTCATCACAACGGCCGCCGCCGCCGTTGCTGCCGGTTGTAAAACGGCGCGAAAAGCATTGGAGAGCGGGCTAGAGGGTGGAGCGGAAAGGGGCGGGGTAGGAGGGTGGCACTCGACCCACTGTCCGTCGTCGGGCCGGAGCTCCAAAGGAAGTGGCGGCGGCGGAAGAAGCGTCGGTGAACGGAGGGGGCCGGGGCGAGGCGGGGGTGGAAAGCAAGGGTTGAAGAGCCGAAGAAGTGCGCGGACGCCCAAGCCTTTGTGCATGCAGGCAGGGGAGCGATGATGCTGCGTGTCTTTGTTTGAGGGAATTGCCTCGTTTATTTGGTAGCGAGGGCGAAGCCGGGAAACGCGGTGGCGAGACGCGCTTTGCCGCTAAAGAAGAAGTGGCTCGGTGACGTCTCCGGCCTGCAGATCGTCCCGAGGACCCTGGTTAACTTGAACGCAAGGAACTGAATGGATATGGTTCAGATGACCACGATTTCGAGATATATTGAAAGAAAATGATGTTAAACGATGACCGCACGTTCTTGTTCAGTTATTCATGATATCTACTGTTATATTCACTTTCGAAACAATTAGAATATTTTATTTATTTACTTCAGTAAACGGAATGAACCCTTTACAACAACCATATAATGATAATGAATATGTAAGTACAACTGAATAAATCCTAAACTGCAACTGACTGGTTCGTTTACTTTCCATTGTGACGCGTTTCCAAAGTATTTCAGTTGAACTTTGAAATGATGAAATAAATTGCATGTTTTATTCGTATTATAGATCGCATACATTATTCATTAATTCTAAGTTCATTTGACAATGTATTCAAATAGAAACAGTCTTATAAAATTGTCTATGGTATCTAAAAAGAGAAAAGAACGCACCAAAATATGCAAATAAATAGCTATGAATATTTTACTCAGTTCCTGAGAAACATGATTCGGTAGCGACATATTCAATATCTTGTCACAGAGAGTCTACAAATGAGAGATTTGCAGCCAGGAATTCACATTTCATAAAAGTCGGTAGAGAATTGCAGTACATCACCAACGTGATCTATTCATTGAATTTCTTTTAGTATGGGTGATGTGATTAAAAGTGATGGTTCAATAAATATGTAGTTATGAATGATAAATGATTTAATATTTCAACAAGCTATGATAATAATCTTGCAATATATTTAACGTGAAAAATGAGAAATTTAAAATTTAAATTTACTCCAAAATCATTTTTACTTTATCTTTATCTAATTCAAAGATCTGAATTTAAAATTTTGATCTTCTGAGTCTGAAAACGAGGATTTCAACTTATTTTCTGTAATCCAGTGAATGCCGGCTCAAGGAAAGAACGCAATACGACCTTCACAAAGACTGGAGGAGTCATATGGTTAGGACAGTGACAGACGGAAGTCTCGTCTCGTA